AATATTTTAAATGATGTAAAATGTATGAAAACAACATCTTGTATCATGCTGCCATTGTATGTGTGCATGTGTGCGTGTGTGCACATGTGTGTGTGTGCATGTGTGCATGTGTGCGTGTGCACATGTGTGTGTGTGTGTGTGTTCACGGCTTGAACTCAGGGTACTCTCACTTTCTTTTACAGCTGGCTCTACCACTTGAACCACACCTCCACTTCTGGATTTTTGGTGCTTAATAGGACTTGAGTCTCTCTAATTTGTCTCCCAGGCTAGCTTTGAACCATGAGCCTCAGATTACAAACCTCCTGAATAGCTAAGATTATAGGTGTGGGTCACTAGCACCCAGCTCAAGACTTGATTCTTTACCAGTTCTTTTTTTTTTAATCTTATTTCAAGTAGTTGTACAAAGGAATTTCAGATTATGAGTACAATGCATCTTAATCAATTATTTGATTCTTGACTTCCTCCCCTCCCCTCCCTCCCTTCCCTCCCTCCCTCCCTCTCTCCCTCCTTTCTTTCTTTCTTTCTCTTTCTTTCTTCCTTCCTTCCTTCCTTTCTTTCTCTTTCTTTTTTGCTTTCTTTCTCTTTTTCTTTCTTTCTTTCTTGAGCTCTCTCTGAGCTTCTTTGCTCATGGCTGCATTCTACCACTTGTGCCATGTTTCCAGCCCAAAGTTTTGAAAGTTAACTACAGGTGAAATTTTGATGACTTTTCTGCCCAGCCTTGTTTTGAATTACATTCCTCAACGTCTTAGCCTCTTGAGTAACTAGGATTACAAGCATGAGCCACCCGAGTCACTATCAGATAGCTTCTACAAAGAAATTTCGATTTTGTGTTTCTCCTAGGTGTTTCAGCGATAACAGAAGAATTACTGGTGCCACAATAATTTATTGTGTATTTGTATCAGCTTTATAGTTTTTAGGGCTGATACACATGCCTCATGTTCTGAGAAATATTGTTGGAGAAATAGTCAAGGGGTCATTTTGCCTACTTTATTAAAATTTCTACTCATGTCTTTAGTGTACTACTATTCATATTGACAAGTCTGATTGTGTCAGATTTTTTCTTGTACAATTTTTCCCTCTTGAATAGTTCACATAGTTTATTATAGATATAATACACATCTTTTGTTTGTTTGTTTGACAGTCATGGTCTTGACCTCTGGGCCTGGGCATTGTCCCTGAGCCCTTCAGCTCAAGGTGAGCCCTCTACCACTTGAGCCACAGCACCACTTCCGGTGTTCTGGTGGTTAATTTGAGATAAGAGTCTCATGGATGTTTCTGCCTGGGCTGGCTTTGAATTGCAATCCTCAGATCTCAGCCTCCTGAGTAGCTAGGATTACAGGCATGAGCCACTGGCTCCTGGCCTGTTTTTTTTTTTTTTTTTTTTTAATTAAGATTGGATCCCAGCATTTATGTGTCTACATCTTCCATGTATGGTTCATTTTATTCCATCTGGTGGGAAGGAGAGGTCTGCTGTTGACATTTTTCTTCTTTGGGGTGCTTCTTCTGGATTTGATATGAAGCGTTGTCTCTCCCAGGGCCTGGTGTCTCTGATGCTGATCCTGACTTTGCTGGAACTGGGCATTACTATCTCGATGTCAGTCATGTGGTGCCAAGGGAGCTTCTGTGATTCGAGAGAGGTGGGTTTGGTTAGAAAGTTAGCAAGTCATGTGATCTTCAGACTTCCTGTTCTGTTTGCAATTGTTTCTTACTCTTGGAATTGGAAAGAAACTTTTGTGGGTTAAATGATTTGCATGGATATTGGAAGAAGAGATTGCATCAATGTTTGAGATAGAAAGAAGGCTTGAAAAGGATTCAAATATGAAAACATGAAGGATCAATTGTATTCATAATCTGACATGTTGAATTGAAACCTTTTCTATACAACTACTTAAAGAAAAAAAAGAAAAATAATCTACCTCACACTGTTCAGAATCAGACTTCCTATCCGTATCTATCAACAAAAAAGTGAATAAAAAATAAATGGCTAAATATGCCAGATAAGGTAAAAAAGAAAACACAAAAGGAAAGTTCTTATTTATTTATTTGTCAGTGGTAGGGCTTGAACTCAGGGCCCGGGCACTGTCCCTGTGCTCTTTTGCTCAAGACTAGGATGCTACCACTTTTTTGTTGTTACTGTTGTTGGTCGTGAGGTTTGAATTCTGGGCCTGGGTGCTGTCCCTGAGCTCTTCAGCTCAAGGCAAGCACTCTACCACTGAGTTTTTCTGGTAGTTTATTGGAGATAAGAATCTTAGGAACTTTCCTGCCTGGGCTAGTTTGAACCGTGATCCTCAGATCTCAGCTTCCTGAGTAGCCTGAGTAGATTACAGGTGTGAGCCAGCAGTGCCCAGCCATGCTACCACTTTGAGCCACAACTCCACTTCTGGTTTTCTGGTGGTTAATTGGAGATAAGAGTCTCACAGACTTTCCTATCCAGGCTGGCTTTGAACTGCAATTCTCAGATCTCAGCCTCCTGAATAGTTAGGATTACAAGTATGAGCCACCAGCACCTGGTGGAAAAGTGTATTTAATATATAAGAGAACAAAACTTTAGAAAATGCAACTAAAATTGGTTTTAGTTAGTTCCTTATGATGTGTTATTTTCAGCCATAGGACTCAAGAAAATCACACATTCGTGCTAGATTTTATGTATCCTAACTCCAAAGTAAAAATAATGAGTTTATTATCTATATATATGAAGACTATGCAGGGAACCCACAGACAGTGTTTAGTGCAGTAACGACAGTGAATGAGTATTATTGGTGACAATCACAGTAGTAACAGGAGAGAGGGAAGATGATCTTGTTCTTGAAATAAACACATTGCTTTCTGTTCCAGGAAATTTACTCACCCCCGAATCCCGTGGATTCACAAATACCTCCTGATGAAAGTAATGCTGAGGACGTGAACACTCAGCCTCCAGTCTCCAATGACCCAGAACCTCATCCTAGCACTCAAGAGGACATGGGCTGATGGAACCCAGTCCTTGATCATGGCCCTACTCATGAGAAGCCTGAGCCTTTGACTCAATCAATCCTTTCGGCCCTGACTATAAGTCAATTCCATGTATATGTTCTGAACGTAGATGAATAAAGATTTGTCCTTCGACATTCTTGGGTTTGTGTCTTCTGTGACTTATAATTCCAATGTTATAGGTGGAGATTGGTTCTCTGTTCCTTTTTCTTCTCCAACTCCATTGCTTTATGCAGTTTGAAGAAGGATGGTAGTGAATATAATCCATATCTGATGGATTCTCCCTAAAATACAATTCCTAACCACCCAGTGGGAAGGAAGATGAGTCAGAGTTGCTTTTCTTTTTTTTGTTTTGGTCCGGTAATGGGGCCTGAACTCTGGGCCTGGGCACTGTCCCTCAGCTCTTCAGCTCAAGGCTAGTGCTCTACCACTTGAGCCACAGCGCCACTTCCGGCTTTTTTTTCTTTTTGCTTATGTGGGGCTGAGGAATCAAACCCAGGGCCTCAGGCATGCAAGGCAAGCGCTCTACCACTGAGCCACCTTCCCAGCCCCCAGAGTTGCTTTTCAACACAGGAAAAAAATGCTTCTCAGTGACAGCTGGCTACAAAAAAGGTTACAAACTGTTACCTTTTTGAGTTTGAGTAGATCTGCTACCTAGGGGTATAACTGAGAGAAGAAATATGGCTTGTCAAAAGAGGAAGCTAGAGATGAAGAGTGAGTGAAAGGCCTATGCGAAGGCTGTGCGTGCCAGAGTAGGAAAGATATGCGAGCAGTGGTGTTTCACTATCTGCCTGGAAGGAAGAGGTACGGTTAAAACTCATCTTGATCATTTCCCCTGATGTTTCAGTATCCACTATTGCGAAAGGTAACCAGACATGGCTGCAGGCATCCAAAGTGTGGGCACTGAAGGTGATACACATCTCAGAATGAGGCAACGTGAATGAAGGTGGGCCTAGAGCAGTTTATTGAAGGACCACTCAAGGTTATGTTTATAATTATGCTGAAATATAAGCAGTGCAGACCTGTGAATTACCCCTTACTCCTTTTGCTATTGGACGAAACACTTTGGTTTCAGCACATGGCTCAATCCCAAACTCTTCCAAATGTCTCATGGGACTTTTATTTCCATCAAGTTCATGTCCATCGGTGTTTCCATTTTCCCATTCTTAGCATCACAGAGATCTAAGCTGTAGAGTTCTTCTAATGTTAGAGCAGGTCGTGAGGTCTTTGTGTGTGTGTGTGTGTGTGTGTGTGTGTGTGTGTGTGTGTGTGTGTGTGTGTGTGTGTGTGTGTGTATGATGGTATTGGGGCTTGAACTCAGGGTCTTGTCCTCTTGCTTGGATTTTTTTGTTCAAGGCTGGTGTTCTACCACTTGAGCTCCACCTCTGCTTCTGAGGGCTTTTTTCCTGGTTAGTTGGAAAGAAGAGTCCACAGACTTTCCTACTGGCTGACTTTGAACTGTGATCCTCAGATCTCAGCCTCCTGAGTAGCTAGGATTCCAGGTATGAGCCAGCAGCACCTAGCTGGAGACCTTTCTGTACACATTTCTTAGTCTTCACATGCTAAAAGACAGGGAGAGAAAGACATAATAGAACATGTAGTGAGACAGGTACAGAGAATGACACTAATGTCCACAGAGAGGCTGCAGCCTTGATCCTATGTATGAAGCCAAGTATTCCTTTCCTGGGGGGAGACAGGGCTTTTTGTTCTTACATGCAACTGGAGATTGGGGGGAAACAACGCTTTTCATTCTGAGGTGCAACTGGAGAACTTAGGATGTGGGAACAAGTATAGAAAACTTCAGAAGTACAACTTTTTCTGGTCTAAGATTGTTTTCTACCTTCCAGATTCCTACTAAGATGTTTCCAGCTTAACTTTCCTAAATCCTGTTTGGTGCCAAGGAGAACTCTCCAATTTCCTCATCTTATAATATTCTCTACTCTGTAGTAGACCACTTGCTTTGCCTATTCATTCTATCAAGTTAAAAACATGACATTACTGATCTTAATCAGCAAGGAAGCATATGACAAATGGCTGATGTAGATAATCATCTGCATCATGAATCAAGCCATTTTAGCTGTCTGTCGGGAGCAGCCTGTGAGTGGAGCCCACTGAGCTGCTGTGTAACAACTGTGTCCCTTCCTGGAGAGCCTGGAAACATGAGCACAGAACATAGGAGCAGAGCAGAGCTCACTCTTCCAAACCCACAAGGGCCTTCCAGGTAAGCAAACGCCATCACTTTTGTTTCTACGCTAGCATTAATCAGGCCAGAGAAAGTCACAGACAGATGCCAAATTTGTGAAAGATTTGTAGATTAACTCATCTACTTTGGTTAACAAAGGAAACTATTTGCTGTACTTTCCTCTCTTACTGGCGGGAAGATTTTCACTTGGCTTGTGAACTGGACATAAGTTTTCTGAGACTAGAGGCCTATATTTGGGGTATGAAATAAGAGATTATACAACTCATTTGGCTCCTTAACCCCTGGACCTGATGTGAGCTGAGGAGTCAGAACCGTTCCTAAAGTGATCTCCTACCTCCCTGGTCTTCACAAAGCTTAGCTGTGAGATATCACTCTGAAGATGAAAATGGGAATTCAAGTCCAACTGATTCCTCAAAAGCCATTCCTTCATGGGCCTCTGGTGCACATGAAGACATGTGGACCATTGACGACACACACTCAGAAACATTTTTTTTTTTTTTTTTTTGGGTCCAGTCACGGGGCCTGAACTCTGGGCCTGAGCGCTGTCCCTCAGCTCTTCAGCTCAAGGCTAGCGCTCTACCACTTGAGCCACAGAGCCACTTCCAGCTTTTTTCTTTTTGTTTATGTGGTGCTGAGAAATCGAACCCAGGGCCTTGAGCATGCAAGGCAAGCGCTCTACCACTGAGCCACCTTCCCAGCCCGACTCAGAAACATTTTTATGTTAAGAATGACTGTGAAATTAGACTAAAAGAGGATACTGTTAAGGAAGGAACCCCAAAGTGTAACTCTTCTGAACGTTTAAAAAAAGATTTCTTCAAACCAACTCCAGGAAATGGAAGCCTATTTGGATTTTTTGTGTGTGTTTTGTTGTTGCTGTTAGTGGTGCTGGCAGCATTTGTTTTTGCTTTCTTTGCATTTTTTTCGGGGTGGGGGGAGAGCCAAGGAAGGGTGCAGAAAGAGAGAGAGGAAGAGTGAGCAAATGCAATCATGGTGTTCAGTATACACTATGCGGAAAATAAATACGCAACTTGTGAGCAAGGAAAGTGGGGGAAAGTGAAGGAAGAAGGGGAATATTGTCCAAAAGAAGAAATTGACGAATTACCTGTACTAATTACTTATGACATGGTTACCCTTCTCTACAACACCTTACTAATAACGAGATTATATTAGAAGCGACTGTGAAATCCACAGTCTATTCTTGATTTTCCTTATCAACATAGATGAAAGGGATGTGAATTAAGAAGAAGAATATTTCTGGCATTGGGAGAGATTGGGGAGAATGATAGGAGTGGCCGCGATCAAGATGCATTGTGCTCACCAATGAGTGAGTGTCTGACATGTTGAATTGAAGCCCCTTTGTACAATGACCTAAAGATAATAATAAAAGACATACAGAGCACGAAAAAACCAAACCAAAACACGAATAAAAATGATTGGCACGAGTTTTGTTTGCTCTGTCTTATTCCATTTAATTCCTTGGACAGTGTTTAAGTCTTTTTGGCCAACGATTTCGACTTGCTAAGCCTTAGTGTCTCAGTCAGGACCCTGAAGCTTTCAATTGCAGGACTGTTTTATTTTGCTTTTTTTTTTTCTAAACTGAGCCAGTAAAACTCCCCTTTTGGACAGTGAACAAGTTTTATTTTAATAGGAAGAGAAATAATTTCCTTCTGACTGAATTCCTGGTAAATTTCACAGTGAATCTGAAATCGAAATCTTGGAAGCATCTCCTAGGGAAAAGCCACTGCCGGAGAAACCCATCTCACCCCAACCACCGAAGACATGGCTGACATTTTTGAAGGAAGAGTTGCAGTTCCTGGGGGTGAGTTATGTCTTCCAGCCTCGACTGCAGATAAGGGTTGGCTCCAGGAAAGGTATTTGTTTCTAGGAACTGATTCTCTTGGGTTCATAAGCAGGGAAAAGGCCCTCTGCAGTTCCCAGTTAATTAGCACTTGCTATCAGTTGAGTCTTTTTGGAAGGAGAGAGACGTGTTGTTCAGGTAGACTCCAAATTAATGGGACACAAATGGTAGAACAGGGCAAAGTATTCCTAGCCTCTGATTACTTAGATGGGAAGAAAAATCACTGATGCCTCCTTCACTCATAAATAAGGGCCTATGAGCTGTGTCTTGGCCATCAGTGCACCAGATCTTGCTGGCATCGATTCAGTTTTTGTAGTGGTCTGAACAGTCTAAAATATCAAAGCAGTTGCTTACATTTGGTTTCAATGATGAGGAAATTAATGTGATGTTAGGAAAATGGATTCTTTACAAATTTTATATGTTTTCCCCCACAGGTGACACAAATTCTGATTGGCTTGATATGCCTTTGTTTAGGCATAACTGTCTGTGCTGTACTTGATATTTCGGATTTTGAAAAAAGAATATTTTCATCATTTAGAGCAGGCTATCCATTCTGGGGAGCCATATTGGTGAGTATGTATCTGTACCCCTACCTCTGTCTTTCCCTCTCTCTCTTTTTCTCTTTCTTTTTTGTCTCTCTCTCTTTCTCTTTTTTTAATCTCTCTTTCTCTCTAAGTCTTTCTTTCTTTTTCTTCTGATTGCTGGTTCTGGGGCTTGAACTCAGGGCCTGAGCACTGTCCCTGTGCTCAAGGCTAGAGCTCTGTCACTTGAGCCACAATTTTCATACCATCGCTTATTTTGGTATACTTAGTTAAAGATAAGAGTCTTATGTACTTACCTGCCTGGGCTGGCTCCAAACCGAGATCCTCAGATCTCAGCCCTCTTGAGTATCTGGGATCACAGGCGTGAGCCACTGGTACCCAGCTTTAGTGATTGTTTCCGAAACAAAACTAAACATAGATTTTCTTTTACTCCAGTATAACCAATTATTTATCTCCTTAGATTTATATACATTATTCTCCTTAGTAGCTAAAATTACAGGTACGAGTCACCTGTAATCATATTCAATAATACTGTTGTGAGCATTCTATGATGGTTATCGTAGTCTGATACGTATTGGGCTCTGGGGATGTACATCTCCAGATCAGGTGACTATATAATCCAGAGGACACACACACAAATAATTACAGTGAAGCAATAGCAGTGTTGAAACACCAGTGTTATGCACCAGTTGCTGCCTGCCCTCGCCACTCTAGGAGTGATCCAGGGGCTTTCAAAGCCAACCTTACCTAGAGCCAGGCATAAAATGAAGAATTCACCACCCACAGAGGCCCGATGAGTAACGTGTGGCATTTTTGTTGTTATTGTTGTTGCTGGTCATTGGGCTTGAACTCTGGGCCTGGGCTCTGTCCCTCAGCTCTTCAGCTCAAGGCGCATGCTCTATCACTTGAGCCACAGTGCCACTTCCGGTTTTCTGGTGGTTTATTGGAGTAAGAGTCTCATGGGCTTTTCCTGCCTGGACTGGCTTTGCCCCGTGATCCTTAGATCTCAGCCTCCTGAATAGTTAGGATTACAGGTGTAAGCCACCAGTGCCTGGCCTACATGCAGCATTTTATAAAGATTTTCACATAATTTGTGGATACTTTTGCTTTGGAGAGGTACTTTATACGAAATAAGAATAAAAGCAATGTTTATCTGGGCTGGGAATGTAGCTGGGAATGTAACTCAGTGGTAGAGCATCTACAAGGCCTACGTTTGGTCCTCAGCATCACCAAATATATATACTATTCCCATGGGAAACACCAATAGATAGCTTTATGGAGTAACTCCAACTTTTACTTTATATTGGAGGATGGAGGAGAAGGAGCATCGTGGAGATTAGATACTTACTATGTCTTATTCCTTTTTCCTTCTGGCCAGTTTGCTATTTCTGGATTGTTGTCAATCATATCCGAAGAGAAAAAGGCAGTGAATCTGGTAGGTTGCAGTTCTGTCTTTGTTATCCTTAAAAGGTAAGAATGGCATCACGTTAGCAGCCTTCAGGGACACCTGTTTTCCATACTGAATTGCAGTAGCTGTGGCTATGTGATCTTTTTTTAAATCTCTTTTGTGCTGGAAGTTGTTTTTGTAATAACACTTAGATATAATCATTAGAAATATCAGTTGGATCGTTTAACACAAGTAATGTTTGAATTCTTTGATACCAATTTGAACAATTCCCACATGGTCATTGTTCTTTTAAGTAGTTAAGTATAGTCACGTAGTCAAGTACATAATTTCCAGATAAGGAAACCATCCAGACCATTGTGTGTGTGTGTGGGGGGGGAGGTGGATGTGTACGCATGCGCACACTTGCATGTGCATATGCCAGTACTGTCATTTGAACTCAGGGCCTTTTGTTCTTGCTTTGCTTTTGCTCAAGGATAACAATCTAGCACTTGAACCACACATCTACTTCCTGATCCTTACTGAATCATTGGAGATAAGAGACTCTTGAATTTATCTACTCAGGCTGGCTTTGAACTGTGATCCTGATATCTTGTTTCCTAAGTAGCTAGGCATCAGTTAATAACACCTGCTGACCATCATGTTTGTTTAGATTTGTTTACTTGTTTTGGTGCTGGATATTGAACCCAGGGCTTTGTGCCTGGTTTAAGCACCTGTTCTACCACTGAGCTGCAGCCCCAGTCTTGATGTAGTCCCAGCAAGAAAGTAATAGGTGCCTAGTGAGCAATAAGTATATTTTTATAAGTTTTTTATTATTAAATACTTTTATTGATATTATAAAGGTGATGTTCAGAGGGGTTACCATTTCATAAGTTGACAATGTCACCCTTTCCCTCGGTCTCTCCCAGTTTTTCCCTCCTGTCCCTGCCCACGAATTGTATAGTTCATTTTAACATAGTGTCTACTGAGTACCACTGCTGCATTTGTTCACCCTGCGCCCCTCCATTTTGGTGCCAAAGTTCATTTTGGAACAAACAATATAATCAATGTAGTTTGCTAGATGTGACCATCTCTGAAATGTCTATCCAATGATGGAATGTGCTGGAAGGAGAAGAAGCAGGATTGAGCCTTCTTCTTTATCACCAGGCCAGAGGCAGCCTGGGAGCAAACGCCGTGAGCAGCATTGCTGCAGGAATCGGAATTGTCATCCTGATCCTCAACCTAAGCTACAGCTCAGCTTACATCAGCCAATGCGAAGGCCTTCATGAAGACGACACCTGCTTTGTGGCTTCTTTTACCATTGTAGGTATCTCTTACGAGAAAGTGGTCTCTAGCGTCTAGTTGAAGCGAGAATCCTTGTTTCCTTTTCCCATGTACATGCCATCACTTTTTGGAGACCCATCTTATAATGCAGACCAAGAACATAATGACCGCCCCCTGTCTCCACTCCAAGGTTGGAGTTGTCTTCCCCAATTGACCACCTCCTGGTTTTCTCCCTGTGTGTGTCACTTTATGTGAGCAAATGGTGGGGGAGGAAGGGTAAAATTAGGACTTACTATAAAGGAATATATTTCTGGGGATACCTACCACAGGACTGACTTTTTGATTGTGATTGGTTGCTGTTCAATAGGAAATTGTGACAATGATGCTGTTTCTTACCATCCTGGGGTTTTGTAGTGCTGTGTCCCTCACCATCTATGGGATTGGGGAAGAAGTCAATGGAAATAAGGTAAGCACGGCATGAATTGTAAATGGTGATCTAAAGGATTTGAACTTAAAAATGATGGGCTAGATTTTCTCGAATACTTTTTCCTTCCCCAGAAAATTATTCAGACACAGAAAAATCTCACTACCATGTCATTGACTGATAGGATTTCATCTGAACCCAGTTGTATGGGAACTCTGGTGTGTTTTTGTTCTGGAGATGTAGGGGATATAGAGTGTAAGGAACAGGGATGTGGAAGAGAAAGACAGAAGGAGAGCATGTAAGCTTGTAGAACAAAGCTTCCAGAAAGTTCTTGGTGCTTTATACAGCATGATCTTTTTCATTATCAGGTTCCAGATGATCGTCTTTATGAAGAATTAAACATTTATTCACCGATTTACAGTGAGTTGGAAGAGAAAGGGGAAACATCTTCTCCAATTGACTCCTAAGAATCATCTTTCAAGGACATTTTGATTCACAGTGAAGAGGTTAGAGAGCCCAGGTCTTTCAATAACCTTTAAGAGGCTGCTGTCAAAATGTCTATTCTCTTCAGAGTCTGCCAAAATTGTATTACATTTATTCTCCAGAATGGCAATACTTTAGTTTTGTGGATTCTAATCTCCTATTTCCCCTCTTATGTATAGGTATATAGAAACTTAGGCAGTAAGTTTCTTGTTTTGTATTATAATCTTATACACATTCCTGTGGGAAGCCCACATGGAATTTTTTGCATCTCCACAACTGTGTAAATAGAGAAGATAAGCAGTTAATGCCAGCTGAGAGTCAGACTAAATTGAGGCTGTTAGATAACATTTGGTTGTTAGTTACTTTTAGAGTTCCCAACACATATAGTTGTACCAATCAATTTATACCCACATGCCACATATATACACACATTCTTTACATGACATAAAATTTTCTTCATATAAATATTTTACATTTCTTTAATGAAAACAGGCTTTTTTATTTTTTATTTTTTTTATTGTGAAAATACTATACAGAGGGGTTACAATTACATGGGCAAGATAATGAGTACATTTCTTATCAAGCATTGTAGCCTCCTCCTTTGTTTCCCCTTCCCATCCCTTCCCATCCTCCCCCCCGAAAACAAGCTTTTTGGGTCTATTACAAGTTTAATTTTTAAGAGAAGTATGCCATCATTGGAAGTAAAAGAACATTGCAGAAATTCAAAATACTGATTCTGAGTAGGAGGGATAGATAAGTTCTAGGTTCATGAGTAAAACTTTGGGCTTGTGGAGGAAATTTACGTTACTCCTGCCCATTACAAAGTTTCTTAAAATACATTTTTATTGTAAAAATACTGTACAGAGGGGTTATAGTTACATGAGTAAGGTAATGAGTACATATCCTACTGAGCATTGTTGCCTCCTCCTTTATTTTCCACTACCATCCCTTCCTTCCCACCTCCCCAACTACTCCCTCCCCAAAACAGGCATATTTTAAAAATAGTTTTTATGGTGTGTGTGTTAGTTTTTATGGTGTGTGTGTGTGTGTGTGTGTGTGTGTGTGTGTGTGTGTGTGTACATGCCTATATTAAGGTTTGAAGCCTGGGCATTGCTCAGCTTTTTCTCTTCATGGCTAGTGTCTTACAGCTTACGTTGTGTCTCCAGTTCCAGCTTTCCTTTGTTTAATTAAATATAAGAATCTTGATAATTTATCTTTCCAGGCTGGCTTCAAACATTGATTCTCAGACCTCAGTCTTCTGTGAAGCTAGGATGATAGGCATGAACCACTGGCACCTGGTTCACGAAGTAACACTTCACAAAAATCTCTGCTGCATTAGTACATTCACTGACAGCAGAGTCTTGCAGATTGGTAGAGGGAAATTTTACTACTAAGTAACTCAGAAGCTGGTGGGATGGATAGGTAAAAATGGAAGATACCATTTATTAAGACATGTGATGAAAAATGAATAAATTATGAAGACTTGAGTTGAATAAATTCAATAGGAATGAAGAAGACTGATTGCATAAAACATGTAGAAAAATATTCACCACAGGAAACTGGTAGTTTCTTTTAAAAAAAAAACTAACTAAAAAAACAAGCGATTATTTTACTAATATGTGTTTGTATCTAAGATCAAAGGAAAATATCTAGTAATACTGAAAAAACTGTAGACCTTCAGAAATGTGAATGTGGAGAATATACCATCATTAGACTCAATTTTAGGATTTGATTTTGAGGAGATGAAGACAGTGTTGAACAGGGCCTGATGCTATCAAGCCCAGAGTTGTAGTAATGAAACAAGTTGATGGCCAAGGGTTAAGAAAGGTCATTATTAAATTAAGAACGTTAAAATTCAAAGGTAGTTATTCTTTTTTTGGTATATACTTTTTATTAGCTCATACAAAGGTAAATAGATGTACATAATAGATTTCCTATTTTGTTCTAAATAAAATGCCAGAAATTTTACTGTCTTCTCAGGATTCTCGTAAGTTTGGAAAATATTCCTTTGAAAACATTAACCAGGAAATCCTGTCCATGAGAGGCTCAGTAGAGTGTTTACTTTTCTTTTCTTTTCTTTTTTTTTTGGGTCCGGTCATAGGGCCTGAACTCGGGCCTGGGCGCTGTCCCTCAGCTCTTCAGCTCAAGGCTAGCACTCTACCACTTGAGCCACAGCGCCACTTCCGGCTTTTTTTTTCTGCTTATGTGGTGCTGAGGAATCGAACCCAGGGCCTCATGCATGCAAGGCAAGCGCTCTACCACTGAGCCACCTTCCCAGCCCAAGTGTTTACTTTTCTAAACTCATGAAATTTAAAAGGTGCTTATTTCCTAAAACAAATTCCTCTTCTTCACATGAACTTTTTGAATATTAGGTCTGTTCAGGAAAAAGTTTAAGGAGTTTCTATCAAATGAGTGATTTTTAAACGAATTTTTTAGATGTATCTAACAATTTCTGTATTGGATATGATTTGTTTTTGAACTTTCTATAATGGAAAGGATGCAGGAGAATAGATTTAGTTGATCAGGAGCTGTTGAATTGAAACTGCAGACAAGGGAGCACTGCAAATAAATGATACTTATCTCTACCTGGAGCTTACTAAGATAACTATTTTGAAATAGAAGTAAAGCCAAGGGAAGCTTCACATGCCAATAATTGCAGGGCAAAGTAACTATAAAACCCACACAATGTTAAGAATTAGAGAAATACATGGCAAAAATATTGGACAGTAAGTAGATCAAAGTAGAGAAAGATCAAAGAAAGAGAAAATAACCAGGAATGACCATTGGCTTGGATAGGAGAAAAATCTACAGTGATAAATCTAATCCACATAATATGTGGACATGGAGAAGAGACAATAGCAGCAATTAATGAATGCAAAAGATGGAGAGGGATTTCATATAGGGGTTTGAATCCATGAACAAAATACTTGTACATTATTTTTTGTTATTTTTATTTTTTGGGTCTGGTCATGGGGCCTGAACTCTGGGCCTGGGCACTGTCCCTCAGCTCTTCAGCTCAAGGGTAGCACTCTACCACTTGAGCCACAGCGCCACTTCCGGCTTTTTTCTTTTTGCTTATGTGGTGCTGAGGAATCGAACCCAGGGCCTCAGGCATGCAAGGCAAGTGCTCTACCACTGAGCCACCTTCCCAGCCCCTACTTGTACATTATTTAGGCGGAGCAGACAGTAAGCACATTTCAAAGAGAGAGTTGGGGGAATGTGAGCAATAATACAGTTTTTTGTTTTTTTGTGTTTTTTTTTTTTTTTTTTGTTGGTCATGGAGCTGAGCACTGTCCTTGAGTTCTTCAGCTCAAGGCTAGTGCTCCACCACTAGAGCCACAGAGCCACTTCCGGTTTTCTGAGTGGTTTATTGGATATAAGAGTCTCATGGATGTTCCTGCCCAGGCTGGCTTTGAACCATGATTCTCAGATCTCAGCCTTCTGAGTAGCTAGGATTACAAGCATGAGCCACTCACCGGTGCCTGGCTAATACAGAATATTTTAAGTAGAGGAAAGTGAACAAAAAGTAAGCCAGTGGCGCTGGGAAGGTGGCTCAGTGGTAGAGCGCTTGCCTTGCATGCATGAGGCCCTGGGTTCAATTTCTCAGCACCACATAAGCAGAAAAAGCTGGAAGTGGCACTGTGGCTCAAGTGGTAGAGCGCTAGCCTTGAGCTGAAGAGCTGAGGGACAGCGCCCAGGCCCAGAGTTCAGGCCCCACACCGACAAAAAAAAAAAAAAAAAAAAAGTTAGCCAAGCAAACTACTTTCACTGCTGTTCATATTTTTAAAACAAGATATAGTTAATATTTTAGGCTAGGAAGAAAAGGTCCATGAGACACTGAAAAAATTAATTTGTAAGTTTCAGTCCCTTCTTCCATACTCATTTTCAGGCATACACAGAACATAACACCAGCATTCTTCTTTGTTGCTTGGAGTTATCTTTCTAAATTTCCACTTAAAAGTTGTCTTCTCTATAAGAACCATATAATGCAAATCTATTCATCTACTATTTTGTCCACAACCACTTTATCCTGTGACACATTATATTATAATTATTCCTGGCTTTGTAGTTTGTGTCCTCAACTATTATATGAGTATTTATGTAATAAATTGGAATTCTCTAACTTGATTTTTTTGTTTGTGTTTGCGTTTACATATGAGGCTGAAGGAGTGATTAAAGATAATTGGGAATCCAGCATCAATTAAATAATGCCAAGGACCAGATTAGTTTTCTGAATTCCACTAACCCTTTTTCAAGTGAGACAACTTCTAAGTGATGCCAGAGACAGAAGAAAACAGTCTAGAGGAATAATACGGTCCCATCTTTTGTTAATGAACTTTAAGTTAAAGCTGAGAGGAAGCTGGATCATGAATCACATCTTCATAATTGTTTCTGACTCTAAATTATTTGCTATGTTATATGAAAGTATTTCCTCTTTTTCTGTGTAGTCTCATGCAGAAAGCATAATGAAGCCCACCAAATGCTGTTTGACACAGGGATGGGAAGAAGGAAGGAATAGGAATATGATGGAGGAAGTGAATTTGTTCAAAGTACACTGAGTACATATATAGGAATATCACAAGGAAACCCCTTTATATTATCAATATATATTAAGTCACAACTAACAATAAAGACAAATTGAGACATATTTCTTATAGATGAATTCTTTGACATGTGCAATTTAAAAGTATATTGTTCATCTGGGTACTGATGGCTCAAGCTTTTAATTTAACTATTCAGGAGGCTGAGATCTGAGAAGTTTGATTTGAAGCTAGCCTAGGCAGGAAAGTCCATGTGACTATTTCACTTAACCACTAAAAAAAAAGCCAGAAGTGGACATGTGGCTCAATTGGGAGAGTATGACTTTGAGAAAAAGATAAAGAAAGCTCAAGGACAGCACCAGGCCCTGAGTTCAAGCCCCAGGACCAGCACACACATACACGCGCGCGCGCGCACACACACACACACACACACACACACACACAGAAGTGTACTGTTTAATCTCCACACTCCACAGTTTGGGGTCATTAGGTTTCTAGATTTGGTTTCTGGCCAATTCTGTTGTGGTCTGAGAGGAGACACTGCATGATTTCTGTGCATTCAATTCTGTTAGGCTTTCTTGTATGATCCAGAATGTGGCTTATCTTAATGAGTATTTCAACAAAGAGAAGCTTGAAAGAAAGATGTTTTGTTCTTCCTGGATGAAGCAACATATGATCATATCT